AACAGTTTAAAAACAAAACAAAACAAAAAAACTTTGAATGTCTATTATGCCTTTCTACATAAAAATGGTATGAATTCACTATCTAACCTTTAGGCAAATAATTTTGTGTACATAATAACAACATTATTAGAAGCGGTTAAAAAAAAAAACATTATATAAGAAGATTTTTAAAAACCCACCTAGCTAGAATTTACCTAAAATGCAACTGGCAGTCAGCATGCATGTTCTGCAGAATCCCCTCTTTTCTGTGGTAGGAAGGCAAAGGTGGAAGGGAGGAAAACACCTGTGTCAGAGAGCAGAGGGTGGTCCCTGCATCCCCAGGATTCTCCAGGCCTGATCTCAGTCCAACAAAATGAGTACTACCTAACTGGAAAATTCCTAAAATCCAAACCACCCACAGAACCCACAATCTTCCTCCCATCGTATGTAAGCCACAGAAGACAACAATCACCAAGTGGCACCAAACTGTAGCTGAAACAGAATGGATACAGATCCTAAAGCCAGATGCCTGGAACTCCAGGTAGACTGGCCACAAAGTCCTGCTAGTGTCAATACATAGCTACTTCTCAGAGTATGACTTACTCTTAAAGAGAAAGTTGATTATATAAACTGATTTAAATTTCAAGTTTGTTTGTTTCAGCCTAAGATAGGTAATGCAGGCTAGAACTATGGTTTACAGATTTATTGAGAGCAGAGGGAGGAAGTCTGCCGAAATGGTGATAATAAAATCTCAAAAACACACTAAACAGTGAAAGTCTCCTTAATTTCAGGCAAATCAGAAAGTAGTCTCCTGGATAATGATACTTCTTTGTGATTAAAGGATACTAACTCTAACATAGTTTAGAAATATATTTAACATCACATTACTGTATAACCTTATATGTGAAATAAGCCAAGAACCTATTCTAACTGAAGAATTAAAAATTATCAGGAAAATATTAAAATATGAAATATAGTTAAACATATGAAAAAAGGATACAAAAAAAGAAAGTGCAATGCTAAAATTATTAATCTACTAGGTTAAGCAGTTAAGCATAATTTAGTCTTATCCTACAAAAAATCCTTATTACTAACAAAGTGGTCCATCAGGAAAAAAGATCTACTATCAAAGGATTAAGCTATAAATTCTTGATTAGGTTCAATATCATTATTTTAAAATACCAAATTCTTTCTAAAGAAGCAAACTTTTTAAAAAGCTATCAATTATTGTAATAAATAAATTCAGAATTTACTTTAACTAGACCTTCAACAATGAAGGAGAGGACACTTACATATATACTCAAATATACCACACAAAAGAAATTTAAGTATTCAAGTATGGACGAATGACTAAATATATCCGTTTGTCAGAACAATTTATTTAATTAATAAGGTTGATATAGACTACAAATATGCAAAAATTAATTACTTACAAAGGTATCTTTGTTTTATTTTTTAAACAAAATTGATATTAAACAGCTGATTATAACAGCTCAGTTCTACAGCCATGTCCCATAACGTAAAACAGAGTCAAAAGTACAGGCCCTACAGGGGCCAGCAGGTTGACAGAACTGAGTGAAGCTGACTCGTGGGACTTTGGAAAATTAGGGAACACAGGTAATGTCTAAAAACAAGCTGATTGCTGTCAAGTAGGAAACAGAGGTAAAGCCTGTCATATCTAATTTTTCAAGAAGCACCAGATACTTGGATTTCTATGTGGAACCTCCCAAATTTTAAATGTTGACAATCAGTTGTGGGGGGAAAAAAACCACACATACACACACA